GTAAATATCCAATATGTACCTGCTACTTACTGGGTAAATATCCAATATGTACCTGCTACTTACTGGGTAAATATCCAATATGTACCTGCTACTTACTGGGTAAATATCCAATATGTACCTGTTACTTACTGGGTAAATATCCAATATGTACCTGCTACTTACTGGGTAAATATCCAAAATGTACCTGGTACTTACTATGTAAATATCCAAAATGTACCTGGTACTTACTATGTAAATATCCAATATGTACCTGCTACTTACTGGGTAAATATCCAATATGTACCTGCTACTTACTGGGTAAATATCCAAAATGTACCTGTTACTTACTGGGTAAATATCCAAAATGTACCTGTTACTTACTGGGTAAATATCCAATATGTACCTGTTACTTACTGGGTAAATGTCCAATATGTACCTGTTACTTACTGGGTAAATGTCCAATATGTACCTGTTACTTACTGGGTAAATGTCCAATATGTACCTGTTACTTACTGGGTAAATGTCCAATATGTACCTGCTACTTACTGGGTAAATGTCCAATATGTACCTGCTACTTACTGGGTAAATATCCAATATGTACCCGGTGCTTACTGGGTAAATGTCCAACATGTACCTGCTGCTTACTGGGTAAATATCTATTATGTACGTGGTACTTACTGGGTAAATATCTATTATGTACGTGGTACTTACCAGTTAAATGTCCAAAAGATACCACGTATGTGCCTGGTACCTGTAACTTGCGCAAGACTTTACCAGTACATGCCAATTACTGTTATGTACTCTGCAAGTACAGGGTACTTTCATTTTTGTAATAGTCTTCTTTGTACCAGGTACATACTGGTTTGGTATATGTATGAAAATCTATTTGAATCAGTCTAAAACATGTTGATCCATCAGAGTTGTATAAAGTTACAAAAACACATTGTTGTATCCTAAAACATGGGGAATAAAACAGCTCCCCCCCCCCCCCCCCCCCTTGTATGTTTGCTTTTTATTCCATTCAGTTGAATTATTCTTTGCGTCACAGCTGCATTAGAAACTTATGATCTTAATCAGAATCGGTGTAGCGAAACATCTGGACCGTCTTCTGGAGCCGTCTTGCTCTGAGCTGAGCGTTCAGGAGAGAAGCCTCTGATCTGATGAGGTGATGATGCAGCCATCTTCCTCACTGGGGAAAAAACTTCACGTTTCATCCGGCCTCGTTATTCACGCATCTACAGATGCAGCTGTGCAGCTCTGCAGCTGTGCAGCTGTGCAGCTCTGCAGCTGTGCAGCTCTGAAGTTTTGCTCAAATCATTCCATTTTAAATCCACCTCCAACTAACTGCTCAGTTTGTCCAGCAGATGGTGCACACGCACCACCCAGCTTTGATGCTCTTGTTTCTCTGGTTTCTGTTCAGGGCAGTGGGGCCCTCGAGTTCCCCAACGGTGTCCCGACATCCCTGCGGGACTCCGGGCAGCAGTGGGACTACCCCAACGCCTGGCCTCCTCTGCAGCACATGCTCATAGAAGGTGGGAAACAGGAAGCGTGTTCCTGCAAGATGATTCAGCTTCTGTGTTTTATGTAACTCGACATCAGAGTCGAACTAGTCGGAGCAGAATTAAGTTTTTATGTTTAGTTTCATCTGAACGGTTTTGTTGGGCGTACTTTCAGCTGTTTTCAACCATCCATAAATCAAAACATTTGGCCTGATCAGAACATTACGTTTATGAATTTTGCTTCTGGTAACTTTCATACTTTTAAATTATATTTAAACTATTTATACTACAGCTAGTTTTAGTTTTAAACTAGCATTTTTCTGCTTTTAGCCTTAAGCTACTGCTTTGCTAAATTCAACCTTAAGCTACTTTTTTACTAGTTTACACTTTAAGCTATTGTTTTGTTAGAAGTCTTGCTTGTTTTAGCTTAAAGCTACACATTTTTTATTTTTAGCTTTAGTCTTAGGCTGCTGTTTCTGTAGTTTTGGCCTCAAGCTACTGTTTTGTTAGTTTGAGCTTCTAGCTACTTTTCTGATCATTTTAATTCAATTGTTGTTTTTTACTGTAGTACAGTTTCACAACAAGGGTCGTCTCAGTTTCTGTTCAAAAACATTCTACTCCCTGAAACAGCAGTTAGTAAAAGTTGCCAAACGAAGCTGCAGATGGTGTTGAAGTTTCACTTTGTCACAGTTTTCCATGCAGAGCAGCATGATGGCGACAGTGGGAAGGAAAAACTCCAGTTCTATTCTAGTTTTCTGCCTTAACTGGAGTGGCTTATAGAGGACAGGAAAGTGACAAACACAAAATTGCTGGTCCAGTTGTGGTTCCTGTGGTCAACATGCATTTCCTATGGTCCAGGTGTAGTCTCTATGATCCAAGTGTAGTCTGTATGGTCAATGTGTAGTTTCTATGGTCTAGGTGTGGTTCTTTATGGTCCAGGTGTAGTTTCAATTGTCCAGGTGGGGGTTCCATGGTCCACATGTGGTTCCTATGGTCCAAGTGTGGTTCACATGTGGTTCCTAT